GCCGGGCAGCGGGGCCAGCACAGGCGTCCGGAGGGCCAGCCACTCACCATGATGGCGTTGACGATGTCGCTCTGGTTGTCCCTCAGGGCCCGCACGGCCTTGGCCCTGGACACGTTGGCCTGCGCCATCACCAGCTCGATGTCCCGCAGCTCCAGTCCCGCCTCATCCACCTGGGGGGCAGCAGGAGGTGCTGGGGCTGTCCCGCCCACAGCCAGAGCCCCCTCCCGCCCCCGGGGCCTTACCTCCTCCTCGCCCTGGTCCTCACACTGTGGCCTCACCCGCGGCCCTGGCGCCGACTCGGGGACGAGGGTGGTGGGCTCCGTGGGCACCTTGAACTTCTCTGCAGCTGCTCTGTGCACTTGCTGGGACAGGTCCTCGATCTGCAGCCCAGGTCAGCGGTCAGCACGCCCGCGCTGCCCACCCCTGCTCACGCCATGCCCTCGCCCCGCCGCTGACCTTGGCCTCCCCGAAGACCACGTAGGTGTCCGAGGCCGGGCTCTTGAAGACATCAGGCTTGGCGATGACGAAGAGAATGTTCTTGGACTTCTGGATGGTGATCCGGGTGACGCCCTGGATCTGCCGCAAGCCCAGCTTGGACATGGCCTGGGGGCACAGCGGGCTCAGGCCTGGGGCTGCCCACGGTGTGTGTGGGTGGGGGCTGGGCTGCCGGGGAGGCAGCACACCAAGGGAGGGTTCCCCACGGGCAGAGCAGGGTGCTGGATGCAGGCAGATGAGGCCCAGCTGTTTCACTAGGGTATCTGGTCACTGCCCTTCCCCAAAGGCCCCCACAGATGGGATTCATCAGCCATGGGTGGGAGGGTGCCCCCGTCCTGGGTGGTGGGTTGTCCAACCAGCCCTGCTCCCCTTACCCCCCACCCCAGGGAGCAGAGCCCCAGCCCACCTTCCGGGCTTTCTTCTCGCTGCGGCTCTGCTTGGCTTTGGCCGCGGTCTCCTCACTGCTGCCACTAGCTGGGGCCTGGGGAAGGCGCGTGTGAGCACCGGAGGTGGGGTACAGAGCCCCCTAGGAGTACTCCCCCCCTCCCCCCCGCTGGCACCTGGGCTGGGCACTGGGTGGCCTGAGGTCCTGAGAGGTCCTGTTCTTCCAGCTCGGCTGACGACTCCCCGTGGCTGTCTGAGTGCTGGCCGGAGCCAGGAGCCAAGGGCGACTCTGGGGACGGGGGAGGTGTGAGGACGGCCCTTGGCTTTGGCTCTGCCGGCCAGCCCCCAACCCCCCATCCCACCACCTCTGGCCCCTGGGTGGACGGTGCCCCAGCTCACCCTCACCTTCCTCCAGACTGTCCTGGTCATCCTGCGGCTCCGTGGCCGGGAGCCCTTGAGGGCTGGCAGGGCTCCGCAGCCCGGAGCCAGGAGGCACTTGGCAGGGGGATGGTATCCGCAAGGCCAGGTCTTTGGCATGGGTGCCCCCCATGGGGGTCGCCTTGGGGCTGAGGAGGGAGGAGTGGGGCGGGAGGCTGCCCCTCGGCCTGGCCCCTCGGTGGTGGTTCGTGGTTCCTGAGAAGGTAGCCACTGCCCGCAGGGCTCCTGCCTCCACTGAGCCTTCCCGGGGACCCTGGCAAGGGCATGGGACAGGGGGTGCTGCGGGGGACAGGGCTACTCCAGCGAGGACAGTGGGAGTGGAGGGCTCAGGGCTCGGGAGTCTGTCCTGGGGCTGAGATGGGGAGGGGCCGAGGGTTTGGGGGGCTGCCTGGGCCTGCTCTTCAGCCCCCGGGTCCGGCACAGGCTCCTGCAGAGAGGAGTGTGGTAGAGACATAGGGGCAGGCTCTTCGGGGCAGCGCCCTCCCAACCTGGGCACAGCTCCTGATGGAGACTCTGAAGCCACAGCCGATGGAAGCCTGGGCCCCAGGTTACCCCCTCGGCCCTCTGCTGGGCTCTGGGGCTGTACCAGGCCCACCTTGGAGCAGCTGCTCCCACAAGCCTGCCCAGTGCCCTGGGGTGCTGGCTTGGAGCCTCTGTCCACCTGGTTCTCTGCCCCTGGGGCCTCCTTTGGTGGGGAGTGGGGCTCAGTTCCCTCACCAGCAGGCAGGTGGGCATTGGGACAGGTGCCCCCAGTGGGTGCCAGCAGGCCCTTGGCTACTTCCTCTCCAATGGAGGCAGGCTTAGGGGGATCCAGGGCCACTTTTGGGGGGTCCAAGGGCTCTGTAGAGGGATATAGGGGTTCCAGGATCTCCAAGGCGAGGTTGAGGCAACCTAGGGTCCCCTTGGGGAGGTCCTGGGGTTCCATGGCCTTCATCGGGCATTGTGAGGGGTGTTGGATCTCTGCAGCAGGCCCAAGGGGGTCCGGAATCTCCAAAGAAGGCCCTGGGGGGTCCAGGATTTCTGAGGCAGGCTTGGGGAGCTCCAGAAGGCCCTGGGGTTCTAGGGCCTCCGTGGAGAGGTGCAGAGGGTCTTGAATTTCCACAGTAGGCTCATGGGGGTCTGGAATCTCCCAGGCAGACTTGGGTGGGAACAGGGCCTCCTTGGGGAGTTCTGGGGGTTCCAGTACCTCCAAGGGGGGGTGTAGGTGGTCTTGGATCTTCTCAGTGGGCTTTGGGATCTCTGAGGCGAGAGCGGGGATGTCTGGGATCTTTGTGGTGGGTTTGGGGGTGCCTGGAACCTCCATGGTGGGATTGGAGGAATCTGGGGGGTCCAGGGTCTCCATGGGGGGATAGGAAGGGTCCTGGATATCCACAGTGGGCTCAGGGGTGTCTGGAGCCTCTAAGGCGAGTTCAGGTATGTCCAGGGCCTCCACAATGGGCTCAGGGGTGTTTGGGCTTTCCAAGATAGGCTTAGGGGGGCCTGCATCTCCAAGTAAGGCCCAGGGTATCCCAGTGTCTGCAGCCAGCTCTGGGCCATCCTGTCGGGTCGGGTCCAGGTCTGGAGGTTGCAGGTCTCCAATGTGGACTGTGTCCTTCACCTCAGGTGCTGGCTTCAGTCCCGAGGTCTCGCCTCCTTCATGCTGGGCCGAGGTGGCCGTGGGCTCAGTCCCTGGGGCGCAGCCTGTGTCTGTCTGCAGGGCCTGAGGGCCGGCTGCAGCAGGAAGGCCCTGGCTCAAGGGCAGGCCAGCATCCTGCAGGGGCTCACAGGTGGCTGCAGGGACGGGGTCCTGGGGTAAGGTCTGCTCTCCTCCAGGCCGGGGCGCTGGGCCTGTGTCTTCCTTCAGGTCCCGCAGAGCCTCTGGGCTGGGCACCCGGCCTGCCTCCCCCAGCATGGTCCAGGGCTCAGTCCTGGGCTCTGGGCCTGGGGTGCTGCAGGCCCCCTCCTGCCGGGGCTGCGGTGTGGCCACAGGCGCTGCTCCAGCCGTGGAGCCTGCTTCTTGCTGCAGGGCCTGAGCGGTCACCTCTGTGAGGCCTAGGGCTTCCTGCGGAGCACGTGGGGCCAGGGCCACAGGGGACACCCGGCCTGGATCAGGGGCCCCAGTGACTTCCACACCCACTTCTCCCTCCGAGGCCGCGGGGCCATCCTGCAGGAAGGCGGCGGGCTGTGCGTGGGGCTCCCCGCTACACTGACTCTCGCCTTCCACCCCAGCGTAGGACGCTGAGTCGGGGTCTGAGGAGGCGGCCGAGGTGTCGTCCTCGAAGGCGAAGGCCTCGTCCATGCCCTCGGTGATGGACAGGTCTGACAGCGACTGCAGGGAGGAGAAGGTGCTGTTATTGTCCTCGCTGGCCTGGTCCCCATCGGGGGCTGCAGCCTCTTGGTCCTGCTCCGCCTGCTGCTCCTGCTCCTGGGGGGGCCGAGGCGTCACCTCCACAGCCTCCACCTGGAAGATCAGGCTGCCCCTGAAAGGCAGCAGGGCGGCTGGGATCATCGGGTCGTTGGCCAGGAAATCCAGCTCGAAGAAGTGGGCCTCCTGGTCCCAGGAAGAGCTGCTGTCAGAGGAGAGGCTGGATGAGGGGGATGGGGGTCCTGGGGACTCCGCAGGGGGCAACTCCTGCTCCTGGGCCTCAGGTCCCAGTGGAGAGAAGCCCCAGCCTGAGGGCACATCCAGCCCTTCCTCCAGGGCCAGGAGGCTCAGGGAGCAGGACGGAGAAGAGGCCCAGCTGTCCCCATCCGCGGTGATGTAGGAGCCCGAGGGCGAGGTGGGCGGTGAGTCCCCTGAGTCCCCTGCCTCAGCCTGGGCATCCCTGGCATCCCTGCGGGGCCTGGAGCCCAGGAGCAAGGCAGGGGTCTCGCTGGGGGTGGAGGGAGGAGTGAAGTAGGGATCGGGGTCCGAGGCAAGGAAAGGCACAGCGAGGTCACCCTGAGAACACAATGCGGGGGGCGGGCTCAGGTTGGCGGGCCCACCCTCCCGGTCCCTGAGCTCCTGCAGGGCTGCCCAGGGGAGGGGGGGTGTCTGGCACGTCTCTTCCCCCATCACAATCCGTGGCTCTAGGGTGGCTGGGAGAGGCCCCTCGGCAGGTTGGATCTCGGGGGGCCCTGGGCTGGGGCCACCCTCCACGGGGACCGCCCAGGCTGAGGGTGCCTGGCCAGGCCCTGCATCCCAGCTGGCTCCCTCAGGCGGGGGCCGGGCGCCTGGCTTGCTGGGCAGGAACGTGAGGTCCAGGGCGCTGGGCCCCGGGGTCAGGGCACAGTGCTCCNCTGGATCAGGGGCCCCAGTGACTTCCACACCCACTTCTCCCTCCGAGGCCGCGGGGCCATCCTGCAGGAAGGCGGCGGGCTGTGCGTGGGGCTCCCCGCTACACTGACTCTCGCCTTCCACCCCAGCGTAGGACGCTGAGTCGGGGTCTGAGGAGGCGGCCGAGGTGTCGTCCTCGAAGGCGAAGGCCTCGTCCATGCCCTCGGTGATGGACAGGTCTGACAGCGACTGCAGGGAGGAGAAGGTGCTGTTATTGTCCTCGCTGGCCTGGTCCCCATCGGGGGCTGCAGCCTCTTGGTCCTGCTCCGCCTGCTGCTCCTGCTCCTGGGGGGGCCGAGGCGTCACCTCCACAGCCTCCACCTGGAAGATCAGGCTGCCCCTGAAAGGCAGCAGGGCGGCTGGGATCATCGGGTCGTTGGCCAGGAAATCCAGCTCGAAGAAGTGGGCCTCCTGGTCCCAGGAAGAGCTGCTGTCAGAGGAGAGGCTGGATGAGGGGGATGGGGGTCCTGGGGACTCCGCAGGGGGCAACTCCTGCTCCTGGGCCTCAGGTCCCAGTGGAGAGAAGCCCCAGCCTGAGGGCACATCCAGCCCTTCCTCCAGGGCCAGGAGGCTCAGGGAGCAGGACGGAGAAGAGGCCCAGCTGTCCCCATCCGCGGTGATGTAGGAGCCCGAGGGCGAGGTGGGCGGTGAGTCCCCTGAGTCCCCTGCCTCAGCCTGGGCATCCCTGGCATCCCTGCGGGGCCTGGAGCCCAGGAGCAAGGCAGGGGTCTCGCTGGGGGTGGAGGGAGGAGTGAAGTAGGGATCGGGGTCCGAGGCAAGGAAAGGCACAGCGAGGTCACCCTGAGAACACAATGCGGGGGGCGGGCTCAGGTTGGCGGGCCCACCCTCCCGGTCCCTGAGCTCCTGCAGGGCTGCCCAGGGGAGGGGGGGTGTCTGGCACGTCTCTTCCCCCATCACAATCCGTGGCTCTAGGGTGGCTGGGAGAGGCCCCTCGGCAGGTTGGATCTCGGGGGGCCCTGGGCTGGGGCCACCCTCCACGGGGACCGCCCAGGCTGAGGGTGCCTGGCCAGGCCCTGCATCCCAGCTGGCTCCCTCAGGCGGGGGCCGGGCGCCTGGCTTGCTGGGCAGGAACGTGAGGTCCAGGGCGCTGGGCCCCGGGGTCAGGGCACAGTGCTCCTGCTGGTCCCCTCTTGGGGTGGTGGCTGCAGCCACATCACAGGATCGATCTGTGGAGAGAGGAGGGCGTGAGGCAGGTTGGCACCTGCCCTGAGAAGCTGAGCTGAGCCCAGGTGGGGGCCACGGAGAGGGGCGTCATCTGGAGACGGGGCACAGGGAAAGGTACTTGCTGAATCTGGGGGAGAATTTCCAAGAGTTCTCACCACAGCGAGCAGCTTGGGGTCAGGGTGTATGGGGTGCGGCTGTGGCACAAACAGGCACCCCAGATTTTCTGTGAGGTGCCCGTCTCCTGGGACACTGGGTGCGATCTCCCTGCCTGTGATCTGCTGCCTTGCTGGGCTTGGCAGGACCTCTCGGGACCTCTGGGGTCAGACGGCCGTGGGGCCGGGGGCCTGCACTCTGACCCGGACACAGTGTTTCCTGTGCCTCAGCTTTCTGTCTGCAAAGAGGAGCATCCACCCAGATCTGAGGTGCACTTCAAAGGCGTGGCCCCTGCCCAGGGTGCCCATCGACCTGAAGCAGGGCCCCTTCCCGTGGGCCACACTGCTGAGGTGCTGGGTGGCCAGAGGGTCCTGAGAAGGGGGTCCTGCAGGTCCACTGGGGTGTGACGAACACCTAGTGCCTGAGGTGGGTGTGGCGGGCGGGGCTGAGTGCCTGAGACTGGGCTCTGGCCACTGAGCCTGGCATGGTACCCCTGCCCACCCAAATTGGACCCCAGGGCCCAGGGACGAGGGGAGGGTGGAGCTGGGCCAAGGCCGGAGTGGAGGGGAAGCCTAAAGGTCAAAGGTTTTAGTGACTCATTCAAGGTCATCATGCAGTCTGAGCAGAGCCAGCCCAGTCCCTGGGTCTGGGGACACCAGCTCTGCCCCCTTTACTGGACCCCAGAGGGAGGCCAGGCCCCTGACCCAGCACTGGTCCCATCCCCAGGTGACCTCTCGCCCACAGCAAGGTGCCCTTGGCCTCTCCGAGTCACACATGGCTGACCTCCTGCTGGGCCACCCTGTCTTCCCAGGCCCAGGCGGACACCCGGAGTCCCCAGCATGGCTGACCTAGCCCTCCAAGGTCGGCGGCTTGCACATGGCAAACTGCTCCCAGGCCCCGCGCCCCAGGACCTCCACCCCCCCGACCCAGGGCACCCCTCTGGCTTCCCAGATGCCAGCTCCCGTCCTACTCCCCCCTCAGGGGCCAGCGCCGGCCCTCTGCAGCTTAAGGCAGGTGGGGACAAGGGTCGCCAGGGCCCAGGGTGCAGCTGGGAACCTGCCTCCTCTGGTCCAGATCCCGACCCGCCCAGGCCCACAGCTCCGCGCAGACAATGGGGCGCAGGGGCCCGGGCGCTCGCTCCGGCCGCCCACCCGCCTTCTCCC